GCTGTGTTTATATGTTGCCATGAAAAAGTGTCATTCCTTGTGTTATTGCATTGAATTGGTTAAAACTGCGATGTTGCATAACCGATGGCGGCATACAGTCTTGTAAACATTGCTGTGGTGATACTGTTTACAGAAAAATTGGAAATTATTGATGCTCAAAGGAAAGTTTTCATCGTCACTTTTATTTGTTTAAGGTGATAATAAAGGCGCAAGGATACAAGAACTCAACACTTTGGAGTTCATCCTGTATTATAAGAGTGAAATTAATTACATTTTGTATCGTTTTCATTAGCACTGAAGGGCTTTCTTGAGCAGACAGGTGGACGGGTTGTAGCTAATAAGTGATAAAGTATAAAGCATAAGCAATATCCTTTATAAATACAATGTAAATATATGGAACATTATCATCACTGTCATAAGTCTTTTAACTCTAAAACAGTTTTTATAGGAAAGCGAAAAAAAGGCTTTGATGCATGTTAATATACACTATATAGACAAAAGTATTGGGACACCTACACATTACACATACAAAAGCTTTTATGAATCCCATTCTAAATCCATAGGCATTAATATCGAGTTGGTACCCTTTGCAGCTTTAACAGCTTCCGCTCTTCTAAAAAGGGTTCCTACAAGATTTTGGAGAGTGTCTTCGGGAATTTTTGCCCATTCATCCAGAAGAGCATTTGTGAGGTCAAACACTGATGTAGGATGAGAGGGCCTGGCTCGCAATGTCAATTTTAGCTAATCCCAAAGGTGTTGGATGGGGTTGAGGTCAGGGCTCTGTGAGGGCCAGTCAAGTTTTTACCACACCAAACTCACCCAGCTTTGTGCACTGGGTCCCAGTCATGCTGGAACAAAAAAAGGTTCTTCCCCAAACTGCTCCCACAAAGTTGGAAGCATACAATTGTTCAAAATGTCTTGGTTTGCTGAAGCATTAAGATTTCCCTTTACTGGAACTAAGGGGCCTAGGCTGACCCCTGAAAAACAACCCCATAGCATCATCCCTCCACCAAACTTTACAGTTGGCACAATGCAGTCAGGCAGGTATTATTCTCCTGGCATTCGCCAAACCCAGGCTCGTCCATCAGACTGCAGATAGAGAAGCGTGATTCATCACTCCAGAGAACATGTTCTCAGTGCTCCAGAGTCCAGTGGTGGCGTGCTTTACACCACCCACTTTGTGCTATGACAGTGATGTTCTGTATTTATATTTAAATATGCTTACTAGGTACAATTGCTGACATCTTACTAGAACAACCTCTGAGGTTTTTGACTGTAGGTCCTTGTTGCGCAAACAGTCTTTTCAACACTATTTGAGTTCATATCACCCTAAAGTAGATGAACTGGTTCAAACAGGCCACTGTGCTCATCCCAGTCCTCCAGTTCTCCCTCTTCGATTGAGCCACTCTGCACTTCGTACATGCACGTAAATCAGAGAGCTGAACATTTTCTGGGAAACAGCGGAGGGAATCTTAACCCATTTTCCTCTCCTTTTGTTGAAGACGCTGGCACGAGACAATGAAACAATGCAGAGGAAGACAAAAGTCTTTCTAAATCTTTTTTCCTTCTTTTTTTCATGCTTATTGTTTTCCAGAGTTAGTCATAGAAGCAGAATGTAATTTCAATTTCTGCCACCAACAGTTATGTTAGGGCATGCACTTTCAAATTTCAGAGCTAGCGGAAAAGAAAAAAGGGGGGGGAAAATAGTGTTCATTGTCCTTCATTCATTATTTATAAAGGATGCAGCCCTATATTCTTCGTCTGGTGAGTATATTCTCCTTTTCACAGAGCAGATTTCCTTTAGGCTTCCCCAGCACGAATTATGATTAAATGCCGCAAATATATTGATTTGGTAATGGGCGCAGCATTTATCTTTGCCTTTGCTCCATGTTTCTGTCGCTTTGTCATTGATGTGGTGCGTGGTGGATCTGCGGTGGTCACTGTCAGTCTCATTCGTCTTCCTCCAGCGGCCATGTTTACACTGCCTGTCCGGGTTTGGCCCTGCGTAGAGTTTGAGAGATTGCTCGCTGCACTGTCTTGCCAATTTGCTAACACAAAATATGTGGAATATTCAGCAGCCGTTTTCATAGTCAGCACTTCTTATGACAACATATTTAAACTGTGTGTGTGTGTGTGTGTGTGTGTGTGTGTGTGTGTGAGGGAGAAAGAGAGAGACAGGGACAGAGATAGAGAGCTTGTGCATGCCAGACCATGATGGATTAAAAGCATCTCAGCACCAAGGTGTTGGACCAAGGTTTATTATAGCATTTCAACTCAAGTATGACACACAGAGAGAGAGAGAGAGAGAAATAGAGAGACCTCAAAACTCAACAGCTTCTCATAACAAGTTCCCTGTCCAGTGGCTTGGACACTATAATCTTGACAACAACCACAAACCAGCTGTTTTTACACAAATGCTGATGTACAAAGACACAATACTGTGCAAAAGTCACAAAAATGTAAAGTATGTAAAGCCATTTATCTGAGCCGTAAACATTTATTTGTTCAAACATTGAAATAAATACAAATAAACAAGTAAACAATACATTGCCACTTGAGCTGTCAGTGTGTTAGTTTAACCATTTTCAAAGCTCTCCTTGAGGAAGTCCAGTATTTACAGTTACCATCCACAGTGCCAACTCTACTTAATAAGCGACATAAGCAGCTGCTAAGGGCCCTGTGGCCACCAGAGGGCCCCTTAACAACTTCTGCACCACTATGCTCTCAAAGATGCTTGAATGAGGGGAAAACACAACTGGTCAAGTGTATCATAGAAAAGAACATAAAAATTTTCTATTTATTTTTTAATTTTGGCGTGGTGTTGTAGTTTGTTTTGGCTTGTAGTTAGGTAACAAAGTAGTGGATAGTATTTCAATGAAGTTACAAAATTCTCAACATTATTTTGGCTCTCATCACCTGCTTCAGTTCCCACAATCCCTCTGCTGTCTCATGAACTGAGCAAACAATTCACAATATCACACTTTGCAAAAACACACTTACTAAGTGTAATAATAATAAGTAGGTTTTTTTGTTTTTGCTTAAAACTTTTGCAAACAATAAAATTTCATGCTTGTTTCTGTCTAATGTACATTAATAGTCAAACGTTTGGACACATAGAAGAGTTTTTCTTATTTTTGTACTATTAATATCTAGATATCTATACTACATTTTAGACTAACAGTAAAGACATCAAAACTATGAAGTAACACAAAAGGAATTATGCAAATTATACTCTTATTATACATTTTGTATTTTAGATTCATTTGGGAAGTACCCTAATGCAATTTTACACATACTGTATTCCCAAATATGCTTTTCCAACAGGACTAAATAAGAAACACATATGCTGAGATGAGAATTTGATGTTTTTGTTTTGGAAATAATTTTATACATAGACTCCGCTACTGGTATTTGTATTAGAATGACATTTAAAAAAAATCATTTGCATTTAAGCACAAACCTTTAGATCAAAATATCCATAAGATAAAAAATACATATTTGGTTGGGTGTGTCCATTGACTGATACATTCCCTCACATATTAATTACAGTACAAGAGGGACTCAGAACTATAATAAACAGTACTACAAAGACAATCCAGAGACATCAAAGCACAGCGGCGTATACAGTCTCAGCAGACTGGTGCTGGTTGCTGTGAAGTTTTTGAGACTATTTCACCTTTCATGTTGCTGAGTTCACCTCTGGGTGAAGTATTGATCCAGACCCTTCAGCCAGGTACTTAACCCGGGACAGCCACAGTAAATAATGCCACGGTGGCTAACGCCATCTGGGGAAGGTGTAGCACAGGCCAGCCGAGAGTCTTTCTTTCTTATATTGTCCTCTCTCTCTCTCTCTCTCTCTCTCTCTCTCTCCTGAGAATGATAGAAAACCACCAAAAGCTCTTGTGTAATCCCTGTTCGTGCCCCCCTTCTGCCCTCTTCCCTCTTTGATATATGCACGCACACACACACACACACACACACACACACACACACACACACACACACATGTACATTGTTATTTCTACAGGATATTTAATTGAATTCTTCTGCTTTATCATTATAGCCTAGACCTAAATCAACCCTAACCTTCACCTCAGTCAGGAATGGTCTTGCGAGGCCTTGGGATACAAGAGTCTTTGGAGGCCCTTTGCCCTCCAACAATAATGCATAAATAAACAAATAAGCAAGACCCAAAAAGTGAAATTAAAAGAGATATTTTTATGTATATATATATATATATATATATATATATATATATATATATATATATATATATATATATATATATATATGAGAAAATGTTTTCTTCAAATTTTAGAATGGCAACAACAATATCCCATGAATGAATAATAAGCAAAAAAGAAAACTGGCCTGAAAACATATGACATTTCTAATTAAAAGCTGCATTTTGGCTACAATGCAAAACAAAAACAGAGCGTCCCCACAACGTCAAATGCCCAAGTTGCAAGTTGTGCTGTCATTTTTCTGAATTTTACGACATAATAAACAAATATTTAATCAGTGTAATTAATGCCAAGGCTATCCCCCTCAGTGTGCGGACGTTTGGCCCCCACAAAGATGGTTGAGATTTCATAGATTTGGTCCCCACAATCGCGCACGCGCACTCAAATTAACGCACCCAAATCTGCTTCACTTCAAATTCACTCACCTGTCTTAACGAAACCAAGTTTCAGAAATAAACACGAACGAGCGGTTAACACAAAACAGGGGGTTTCTGAAAGCAGCGTTTGATGGAAACCCTCCCTCCCCTCCGAACCACCCCCCTTCTCTCTCTCTCTCTCTCCCTCCCTCTCTCTCTCCCTCCCTCTCTCTCTCTCTCCCTCCCTCTCTCTCTCTCTCTCCCCAATGCTTCTCCACTCCGCCACTAGAGGCTCACTGTGGCTCCGCTTTCCGCTGTAGAGCGCGAGCTCCACTACCGGCGTGGCGCGAGAGAGGCGCGCGCGCCACCGTTGGTTTCCCACCGCAGCGCACGAGCGGAGCTTCAGCTGAGGAGAAACCGCGAACCGCGAGGAACTCAGTCCGAGGCGGAGAGAGGAAAAACACCCCGGCGCTTCACATCTCGGCTTTTTTTGGCAGACGGTAAGAGCGCGCGCGCTTCTGCGTTTCTGGAGCCTGACTGAAACTGCGCTCTGCTGTCTGTGTGACCGCGGCAGTTTAATTGGAGAGAAAACTGAGTAATTGCTGGGAATGAAGCTACATTACGCCGCTCCACGCTGATAGGAGGGCTGGGCTGCTGATAACGAGCCGCGTCTGCTGGGAACGTTTTGAAAGGACGCTGTGCGGATGTGTAACTTGTTGCCTCTAATGGCTTCTCTTCCTCCAAAGGAGGCAGGTTACAGTTTTATGACATGAGAAGTTTTGAAGCTTGGGCTGATTTGACGCGGCTCGCAGCTCTGGGGAGGCGAGCTGGAGTGCGGAAAAGTTAACGGAGTGGCTTTAACTGAACGGCTGCCTTAAACGAGATGGTCACCTCTTTATTAGCCTGTAGCCTTTCTTAATTCAAATGACAACAGGATACACATAAAGGCTAATCATGACACGTGCCACATTATTGTTGTCAGCAACGTGGTCAGTTCTAGACCAGCAGAAGATTAACCTCTCAGTACCCACATCCAAAACATTGTCTCTTTTGTTTTAGGTGGGCTCTGGTTTCTTGTCTTGGCGTAGGTGAAGTGAGTGAGTATCGACGTACATGCTGTAATTCATGTCGAATTAAGCGATGTCAGGGGCTGTGGTCGCTTGAAATATGGAATTTCTATAAAGTCTTGAATAAAGCTTTTTACTGGTCGATAAACTGCATTTCGCGGCGGAACGTGCTGTGCGAGGTTTTTATTGTAACTCTGCTGCCTGCTGCCGCCTGATGACACTGACTTTCTCCATCCAGTGCAGGCAAATGCACGATTTTCCAGAAATATCTGGTGAACTTGACGCTTCACAAGTTCACTTTGGCATCAGAACTCTGGCACAGCAGAGTCCCCAGTGCTGCATTAGCTCTTCCAGTGTCCATCTGGACTTATATGAGCACCGTAGGAGGATTTTAACTGTATGAAGTTGCTTGTAATATGTGATGCGTCCTCAATCACTGAGGAGCTATTCAGCTGAAATGACTGATGGCACTGTGCTACACTGCCAACTGTGAAAAAAGCTTAAAAAACACTGAGGATTTGCTTGTCACTCTTGATAGTAGACTAATTCTGTGCCTATCCATCATAAATGACACGCATACATTTCCAAAATGCTCAGCTGGTTTCTCTCTAATTAGGCTGTTTAACTTTGTTAGCAATGGACATGATGCGTGGGCTTACAAGATTGTTTACAGTAGACTGTCGCTGTTGTCAGTGATATAAGACCAAGATAATGTTGGAGATTATCTGTCCTGATGAATATGTGAACTGTACCTTGTTGTCCAAGTGCTGTGATTATGAATGGAGGGATGAAGGGGTGGCATGAGGTTTATTTACATAACTGGCCAATGGACATCACCATAGGCGTTGGTGGGGAATGGACGTTTGAGGAGAACAATAGTGTGATAAAACGTCTACATGTGTAATGGAGCAAAGCACTGTCTTATATGAAGTAGGGGATGCTCTGCTGAACTCCTTAGAGTAAAAGTAAACACAGCTCATCTATGTCTTGTCTAAGCATGTGAGCACTGCTCATCAGTTCTGAGGCTGTGGGGGTGGTCTTCTCTGTTGACCGCATGAGATTTGTTTCATTCCTAAACCAACAGTGGTTGCTGTAGGGTAGAGACACCTTTGCTGAAATGTCATGAGACTTTGAGTGTGTCCATACTCTTAATCTCAAATATATCCAGTCCCTGACCGGTTATACAGTATATTCTGACCAGACTAGACCATTAGCGCTGAGTTTCGGTTTACTCACCTCTAATGCAAGCTTAGTTTTTGATGCATGCCTCTTTGCCTCAGTTACTACATAAAAATCTTATTTCCCTACAGACGTCTTGAGTGAGAGATGCTGGAAAATGGTTATTATTTTTGATTACAGTTGCATTCCTCTTCCACACGTATTGAAAAGTAAAGGTGCCAAAAAGTTTCCTGAAGAATGTTTCTATGAATGGCTAGGAGATGAAGAAGTTGTAAGAACGTTCGCTCAGTGTAAGGATTATATAACAAATAAAGTAAAGATGCACTGATACAGGAGTTGTGAGCCGATGCTGATGTCTGATATTTCCCATGTTCTTATCTGCCAGTGCCAATGCCAACATGTAAAGATGTATAAAATATAGATATTTGGGTTAGATCAACCTGGATTAGCATTATGGAGAAATATAACATGTTTTTATAAATGCAGTAAAATGAATACAATGCAGATCTTTTAGTGCAGCGTTGCCTAAACGTTCTGTTCTTCCGGAGTACAATAAATTTGTTATATTTAATTTTAAGCAATATCTGCTGGTACCGATATGATACTCATATTATCATGCATGCCTAAATTAAAGGTATTTCCTAGAACTGTGTATCTAAGCCACAAACCACTTAGGAATCTTTATTTTTAAGAGTTATAATTTTAAAATTTTGAGAATATTGGCTGCTGTCCTGGACAGCACTGGCGTTCCGACGTGATAAAGCTGAAGATGAAGATTTCTACCCGCCCCCCCTTCCCCCCATTCATTGCTCACGTACTTCCTGTGTAAATATGTGCAGGACACGGGCCACCTGTCGGTAAATCATAGACGCGCAGACGAGCGCGCTATAGATTGGTTGTGATTTATGTCTGACGGGCCCACAAACACGAGGGACCCTACAGTCTCGGCCCTAGCGCTGATAAATTGCTTGAATGAAGCAGTGAGCCCTGGACGACATTGATTACCGTTTACCGAGTCTGAGAATAAACCATAGTGAGGGTTTTGGGGGGTTATAAAGGGTAGGAAGTGATGGATGTTGCTGGGGGGGAGGGGATTTGGTGGTACGGATGACAGATATGGCTTGCAAATGAGGGGGGTTTTATAGCTCCTGGAAATGAGACCATTAGGGTGTTTTTTAATTGATCAGAGTTCAGGGCTCGCTGCTGCAGTTCTGCACCTGCTTCAGGAGCTTCTGGTTCAGACCTTTAGCTTAAATTATCCACTGTGTTACAATCTCACACCTGCTCCGAGAGCCAGCGCGTGCCAAAGGAACTCACCCCCCAGCTTCCGCACAGCACTCTGTATGTATGTGATGATGTGTGTGCGCTCAGGCAGTGAATCGGCGGCAGTCGTTCTTTCACTTTTCCGTTGTTATGAAGTGAACACTACACATGTACGTGTTTAGTGTTTGTACATGGCTTGAATTCAAACATCTGAAGAGTGATTAAATAGTTTTTTGACAATTTGTAAAATTTGTACATGGTCTGCAGTTAAACCCTTTTTTGACTTGAATCTTTTCTGTTTCCTGTTGCACAACTTCACTGGTCTCTCAGTGCAGTTTGTGTCAGAGCTGTTTAGCTTAGCATAATGTATGGAATACTGTGGCTTATTAAATGTTTCATTTTATTTCCATGGAAAGTCCTTGTTTTGCTGCGGGATGGGTCCACAGTACTTGGCTGAGAGCGGTTCATGAAAGATGACTTTGATGAATCAGCCGCGTTCCATAAATCAGATTAGCTTGCTAGTCTCGCTTGAGTTTGCGTACATGGCTGTACACAGCTTCTTTTATTTTAATAATAAAAGTGGTACTAATTGGTGGTACCAATTGGCAGTATAACAATAATTTTTGTTATTGTGATAAATTATGCCACAACACACCTTTTTTGAGCAAACTGTGGATATTGTTAGTATTTAAAGAATACCGACCAACAGCATGTCTCATTACAAAGAGAACAAAATTTCATTGGATTTGGAGCAGCACAGTGTGTGAAGTGTTGAATACAATCAGTAAACGCTAAATTAAAATGATTTGCATATTATCAAACCACTGAAAAACTAAACATGCATATGCATATCATGGAGGGTATGGGGGGTAAAATGGTAATAAGATATACCATGGTATTTAAAAATTATCCTGGTGTTCAAAAATATTGAGAGAATTTTAAAATTATGGTGTGTCAAATTTCTGTTCCACATCTGAAGGACCAAATAAACACATTCCACCCATTTATATTTTAGAGGACTCACTATTTGGTGATGTGGGAGCTCAACAATAGGTGGCGCTGATAGAAAGAGAGGGAAAAATCAGGGCCAGGAAAAACACTAAACAGGATAACAACTCAGCAACGTCTAAGAGACGCCACAGAACACGTTTCATTTCAGCTTTTCACCAGTGACTTTGTGCTCTTAATTGTCTCCAAATGGGTGTCATTTTTGCGTCAGTTTGCTGGAACCAAGCCTGTGCTGTGGCCTGCTAGCTAAGCTATTGTTAGCTTAGCCAACACACTACAGGTTTAATTTCATCAAACTGGCATCAAACAAATGGATACCACCTAGTCCTAGTATCATGGACCATCAAAATGTCTTGAAGTATCATTATGTTTTATTTTTACCATATTGCCCACCCCTACTAATGGTTATTTACAGCCATATCACATTCATATGTCTGCTTTAGAGCTGAACTATTTGGAGAAAACATCTAATTGTGATTTTTCTCACCAGTATTGTGATTGCTATTTAAATTGGGATTATTATCTATGAATTAAGATCCAGGACTGTTTTTTGGCCGACAGACCAACATATCCACTTTTTCTGGCTTAAGCTTGAACTTAAGTTTAGTGTGCCAGTGTTTAATGAGTGTTGCTTCTGATTGGTCTAGTTCATCCACTGGCAGTTCACAGAATTCGTTTTATGGGGTAAATGTCCCCACTTAAGACTAGCTCAGACAATGTTGCTGATAATGTAACCTGTGATTAAAAAATGCAGCTGAAAATGAAACTTTTAGATCTAAATGTAGATCTAAAATCTTTTAGCTATAGTCTAGGTCACTAGCTCACTGCTGCTGCAGTGCTGTCGTTATTGGTTGTTTTAAATCTGAAAACAAGTCTTATTTATCAGAAATAGCTCTGCCTCGCCCTGAGCTGGCTTTGCTATTTACATTTTTTACTAGCCACTTTACAAGCACTAATCAAACCAGTGTTCATGTACGAGCCGA